AACTACGTTACGGCGGTTGGAAAGTGACTAAAACCGAGATGCAAGATAAAGACCAATAATATTGCTGATTCTTCTTTGGATTTTATCAAGAACCTCTGTATAGCCGGAGCCACAGAGAATATGAGGTAGCAATATTCAAACCAGGAACGAATAGTAGACTTATAAATATGTAAGTGATTTTGAAGAGAAAATTTGGACCCGAACAAATTTTCGTACAAACTCAGACATAAATCTAAACACTTATATTTGATATTAAATAACGCTACAATGTTGATATGTATGTCTCTGGCTTTGTTGTCTTTATCGCTTCTTTTCTTTCTGTGTGAATGTCTTAGACGAACTGTTGCTGCTACCATACATTGATTCATTTGAACCAGTTTTCACGTCGTCGTTGTCTGTTAATCAGTAAATCTAATGACAGAACCAGCATCAGAAGTCAATTCTGTAGATGACATTACAATGTTGAAATAATTATTTTTATTGACCTGATATCTCGACTAATTTGGCATAATTTTCAAGATATTTACAAGTGTATGGACATTTCAACAATCTCAAAATTAATGAATTCAACACCTACATGAATTATGTGTGTATAAAAATTTCAGATAGAGTATATCTGTAAAAGAACAATATGAATAAAGACAAAAGGAAAATCTATCTTAGCCACTCGACCCCCCCCCACAAAAAAATAAGGAAAATAAGTTGTTGTGACTGAATATCTTATTCCACTCCATTTATGTTTATGAAGATTACGTCTTATTTTGTGTGCTAATCAAAAAATGTCACTTCTTTTTCTTCTAATTCTTCTGCTGATGATTTTAGGAGTTCGTGTGCATAGAGAGAAAATATATGGTGGGAGGTTTTGATTAATCTATGTCGGCGTACATGCCTTCTTTAATGCAATTTTAAGAATTTCTTTTCTGCATTTTAGGAATGTGCCGATATTACTAATTGGTTGTATTTACTAGCTAAGTGTATGTGCATGTTTTTGTTTATAATGTCAACAGTGTGTAAAAATTTCAGTGATATATAAGACAAACTTTGGCTAAGATAAGTTTCTTTTTGTCTTCTATATAATAAATGAGAATATCAGTGTGTCACACTTTTTTCAATTAAAGGTACAAAACTCTTTAACTTTCAATAGCTCATCTTCTATATAATAAATGTGAATGTCAGTGTGTCACACTTTTTCAACTTTACTCCTCGAGACCGTAACCCAATATATCTCATATTGGAATCAGGCTGACTCGACAAGGAAATTGAATGCATTCCGGG